TTTCATTAGATTCACTTAAGGAGGACCGGACCATTCATTTTTACTTCATAAACACAATTACTTAAAACTATCTCAGAAACACTAAAACTTGAATATCGCCACTGAAATTCTTTGATTTCGTTATAGGTACTACTAAAAAGTTACAAAACAGATAAATTTTAAAGCAGCGCCACTAGTGACAAAACTTGGAAATATTACCAATACCGCCTACACACGTGTAATGTTCGCTTACGTAGGTAACCTTTGTAGCTAGTAGTTTCAGCACCCCGCCAGAGATGGCGTTAGTGGTCGCATTAAAAATGGAGCCTCCATTTGAGATAAAATATTCTAATTTTAAAAATCTCTGTTTTTAATCGATTCTAATGTATTATGGAGATAAATTCGATATTTTACTCTAAGAATTCTCGTTGCCAATTTTTCGCGTTGAATTAACGGTTAAAAATATTTTATTGTTGTTTGCCCTACTAACGAAAACTTTCTGATGAGAATATAATTATAATAATATCACTGTTTGAAATAAACTGGGGAAGTAAGGAGTTAATATCGTTTGTTTCTTTTTTATTTATTTTTATTGCGTAGATGTGTGGACGAGCTCACAGCCCACCTGGTGTTAAGTGGTTACCGGAGCCCATAGACATCTATAACGTGAATGCCGTCACTAACCTTGAAATATGAGTTCTAAGGTCCATAGTTACAACTGGCTGTCCCACCCTTCAAACCGAAACGCATTACTGCTTCACGGTAGAAATAGGCAGGGCGGTGGTACCTACCGGTGCGGACTCAAAAGAGGTCCTACCACCAGTAATTACGCAAATTATAATTTTGCGGGTTTGATTTTTATTACACGATGTTATTATTCCTTCACCGTGGAAGTCAATCGTGAACTTTTGATAAGTACGTATTTCATTAGAAAAATTGGTACCCGCCTACAGGAGTCGAACACCGGTGCATCGCTAGATACGAATGCACCGGACATCTTATCCTTTAGGCCACGACGACTTCTGAATAGATTTAATCTGAATAGCCTATCGAGGTAAATCGCTGGTCGTCGCATAGGACATTTAAAGACTAGCGCTGTTTAGTTCAAACGCCGCGAAGTGTTGCTCACGTGCAGTAAAACAATTGAAGCCTTAACTAAATTTATTATCATCTTCAATATTTCCCATCCCTAATTGTGTGTTTGTTCGAAGACAGTTACGTCGTTACATGTGTGGACGTCGTTTTGTCTATTAGAAGATCTGATATATCATTACGTCACATATACAATATAGACATGATGATAACGTTTTTTCCTTTCGTAAAAACGTTTTTCTTATGTGCATAGTTTTTATAGTTTATCACGTTTTTTAATTAAGAAGATCTCGCCTGGTAGTTCGAAGTGTTATATGATATGTAATGTAGTCAGGAATGCTCACTAGCTTGTTGGCACAAGGCATGAGCGATAATGATCGTAGGATTCTAAATGATAAGAACAATTGTAATCTGCACGACCGATAATAGATACCAGTGTTCCTTGGCCACTTTAAGCTCGCACTAGCCACTCACTCGCAATGATATCCTAAATTTTGTTTCGAACTTAAACGGACTTTACGATCAATAATAAATTGACAGCTTTCCTACTGTCAATCATAACAAAAAAAATATCCTTCAGCTCGATTTTTGTAAATTTTTTTTTTCTTAGGTGCTTGGATGAGCTCACTGCCCACCTGGTGTTAAGTGGTTACTGGAGCCCATAGACATCTACAACGCAAATGCACCACCCACCCTGAGATATAAGTTCTAAGGTCTCAATTATAGTTACAGTTCTGTATATATATAAATAAAACAACACAACTTACAAAATTAATGCTAAATTCATCAGAGCGTAACGTACGTCCTACTTCGCTTCAAGACTGTTCATTTATAACCAACGTGAACATCTAGGTTACACTTTATCCGGGTCGCGATTCGAAACATTCTTGAGCGCTGAAACTTTGGATCTTAGAAAGGGCTGAGTAATTACACAATGTTAACGGGAGAACATTTTCATGTCCTTTAAAAAATATGAATGACTTTAGATAGGAAAATTTTAATGCCACAGACCAAATTGTGCCCCATATACGAGTATTTCAGCAGTTAAAAGTAGTCTTCTTGTGTGTGGTCTGAAAGAAGAGATGTCGGCGGAGCTGGACGTAACTTTTAACTTTTTTTTTTATGAAAAATGGCAAATGATATAATCTCTTTTCAGGCTCATGAGTTTCATAACTGAGAACCGGTGTTCCCTGATTCCCGGTATACCCTGATTCAGGGGTAAACTCATGATAAAGCGCTCCAAACGTAATCATTACCAAAATAAAGTAGGCATTGCTGACGTCCGTGGGCGACGGTAACCACTCACTATCAGGTGGGCCGTATGCCTACGTCTCCAATCATAATTCGATAATTGAATTCTTACACTTATTCCAACGAACAAAATGAAGCTCAATATTAAAAATGTAGATATACTGATCTGGTTTCATAATTAATTTCGACAAAGAATTCTTAATGAATTTCGGGATTCGTGTTTGATCACGACTAATTATAATAGGATAATGTATATGTCATGGAACTTTTACAAACTTATTTTATTATGATATTCTATTATACAGATACCAATATAATTGAAATATAATATGTAATTTGAAAACTAACGAAGCGTACAAATGACCCTGTGACGTCGGGCACGCACGGATACTCCGCGACAATAATAAGTGGAATGACCCACCAATAGAGGTCCGCTACAATGCGTTTCAATTCAATACTACACAACCATACGCTAATAACAATAGATTACCGATGAAGTTGCAGTTTTACAATACTCGACATTTGAAACGTATATTTAAGTATGGCTGCCAATCTATATATTAATACGTGAAGCAAAAACTTTGTATCCCTTTTTACGAAAATTGCGCGGACGGAGGAGTATGAAATTTTCCACACTTATAGAGAATATAGAGAAGAAGTGTACAATGCTAAATTTTTTTTTAAATAATGCATGAAAGATACATTAAATCAATAAAGAAAACATTACACAACCTACCATGTATTTGACGCACACACGTATGCATACTATTTATTGTCCAACTTTTGTTCTTGACATCTATTGTCAAATTGAGAATAGATTAAAAATTGTTTGTCTTTGTTAATATTTTTTATAGTGTAGTCTTGGCGAAATTTGTGATTATAGAAGTATAAAACACAATCATAATAGTGTACAAAACTTAAAATTTCAATTAATTATAGTCGAATTTCGACTACTGCGGGACCTCTAGTAAGGTCTAAATCCAAATGGTATTTATTTAAAAAATGTAGATTACTATTTTCCAATTTAAACATTTAATTTTGTTTATTGGTATTCTGTTTTAACTACATTCGTGTCTTTTTCATCTATAGGGACACGATAAAAAAACGAGTGAGTAATAATGGAACACGAGTTCCTCCGCGGTAGCAATGTCGCACACGCCGGTCACAATGTTAATGATGTGTACAGAGTGACCACTACAAACGAACATGAGAACCGTTATTGATTTGAACCCTTCCGACATGGTAACTTTGACCTCAAAAATGAACCTTAAAAATAATTCAATAACTACGAATTAAAGAAGATAGTGAAAGCTGGCGAAACTCAATATACGGCTGAATTAGCAGCAGTTTTCAACATAGCATCAATATGGCATAGTAAAAAACTTGATAAGTAGGTGGCGCGCGAACTTGAGTCGCATTGTCAATTGCAATGCAAAAATGGATTATTTTTATTATCGTAAGCGGTCGTCATGTTCATTAGACCCTGGTTAGGTATCTAGGCAATGCCCCAAACGAAAACTCGCCCCCAAAAAGTCACGGTCTTTGTTTTGTGGTCTAGTGCCGGTACAAAATTGCACTAACATTACTGCGGATATGACTGTTAGGAACTGGACACATTGATGGATAAGCTCACGAATCTCCGACTAGCTCTGGGTAATCGCTCGTCCCCGCTGCTCCTACAAGATAAAATTCGACCTTGTATGGTACAACAGTCGGTCTTTTTTTTTCCTACCTATTCTAGTAACCTCGAGGGGTTATTCTAGATTCGCCGAGCTAATATTTGAGCTCACGGGGCTCAAACCTGATGACGTTGCTAACACGAACCCTAGCAAGAGCCACACCTTGCACCGACAGACTTCTACTTTCTCCAAAGTTTGGACAACTTCTTGATAGGGAAAAAAATCAATACGCGAGAGGCAGTACAAAATGTTTTTGAAGAATTTGATGGCTCCCGTACACCTGTCTTCTTCAAAAAGAACATTGATTGGAACCAGTGCGCTGACAGAGATGCATCGATGCCATGGGTGCATATTTTAATTGATCGAAATAAAATATATTTATTAAAAATTACTAAGTTTCTGTATACTAAACCTGAACTTTATAGGTAAATACCCCATATACAACACAAAAACACGACATCTACTCTGATAATCAAATAAAATTATTTTTTTAAAAGAAAGTCTCTAATAAATTAAGTCATACTTTAAATTATCTAATCTTTTTTACTGGTGGTGGGACCTCTTGTGAGTCCGTGCGGGTAGGTACCACCGCCCTGCTTATTTCTGCCGTGAAGCAGTAATGCGTTTCGGTTTGGAGGGTGGAGCAGCAGTTGTAACTATACTGAGACCTTAGAACTTATATCTCAAGGTGGGTGGCGCATTTAAGTTGTAGATGTCTATGGGCTCCAGTAACCACTTAACACCAGGTGGGCTGTGAGCTCGTCTACCCACCTAAGCAATAAAAAAAACTGAGTTTGTAACAAATATCTTCCATATAATATTGTCAACATCAACTGTAGGTTTATTAAAGTAATGAAATAAAATTAAATAAAGTTTAGTTAACGTTTCGAATTTGAAATGTCTAGAATAACAAAAAGGTTAAATCACTTGTCGAATATCTTACGAAAACACATTACCATGTACTAAATCTCACTAGTTTCACGCATACAGTTTTTTCAGGCACGGCGGCACGAAGTAGTCTGCAATAAATTGACTTAAGTGGCCTTCTCCTCCAAATTAATGTACTGTGAAATAAATCTATAAAAACCTACCGCTGTTTTACTGAACCAACATTGCCTTATTCCAGGGTCTATAAAGTAGCCAATTTATGTACCTATGCCTTTACAAAGAAGGTCTTGAATTATTAAAAAAGTACCTATATTTTCTATAAGAATCGCAGAGATGATTTTAAGTGCATAAGACGAGGACCAGAATGCACGAATGCTTCGCAACAAAAATGGGTAGGTTTTGGTACCTAACCGGAGTAGAGTTCATCCATACTACCTGGAGCCACTGCGTTCATCCACGGTGCGTTTCCATAGATCTTTTTTGCCACGTATCATCCGGCTTTAGAATGAGGTCCCCTGCACGGTGTTTCCCGAGCGCTATAACATGTCCTTCTTCAAACGAGGCTTGTGGAGAATATAAAGAGGTATGCAGCGGCTTGGCTTTGCCCCTGGCATTGCTGAAGTCCACGGGCGACGGTAACTACTTACCATCAGGTGGGCTGTGAGCTCGTCCACCTAACTAAGCAATAAAAAATATAAACCTAGTTAACAGTAATAGTCCTAAAGGAGTAAAAAATATTTCAATTTGCTAGACCTTCATGCTTCTTGCTACAGACCTTCCTACGTTTATTAATTAAATTTTATAATTTTCAACATGAGTTAGTTAGATAAAGGCCATGTAGTATCATCTTATCGTTAAAATGAAACCCTGGGGTGAAACAAAGTGTCAGACCTCAAGCTACTCACATCTCTGTGGCAGTGCGTTATAATCTGATAAATTTGATTATACCGCCTTGCAAAACGTTAGTCGGATTACCGAGGGTCAGCTGTATAAGAAAAGCAGAAGTTAAAATTGTAAGGAAGAATTTCTAAATCGCAATGAAGTAAAACAAATTAGGATAGGAAAGGGTCGAGGGTCGCAGCGGCCAATCAGAACAACTGCCGCGGTGCCGATTCAATTAGAAGTAGGCTTTGGGATTTGTGGTACATGATATCAGAGAAAGCGGTTTTGTGCGAAATTTCATACTAAACAAACCAATCTGAATGTTGGACTTAATTATACGTGACATTCTTTGCACTCAAAATTACAAGCTAATCATAGATCCTAGACCCTAAATCACTATGGCTAACCACGTTTGAGAAGAAGGAAAAGCAGCAAATTAAACTTTTTTTTAAAACCTCATGTCTGCATATTATAAAATAAATAAGAATAAAAATAAAAATCATTTCATTTAGACCATCATAAGTCCATATGTTGTTAGTAGAGCAATACTCATAACTATGTTAGAAAAATTAAAATTATAACGTAAACTTTTTTTTTATTGCCTTTGTGGTCAGACGAGCTTAAGGCCCACCTGATGGTAAGTGGTTACCTTCACTCATGGACGTCAGCAATGCCTGGGGCAGAACCAAGCTGCTGCCTACCATTAAGTACTCTCCGCAAGCCTCGTTTGAAGAAGGACATGTCATAGTGCTCGGAAAACACCGTGGAGGGGAGTGGCAAAAAAGATTTTTGGAAACGCACTGTCGATGAACGCAGCGGTTCCAGATAATATGAATGAACTCTGCTCCGATGACTGAAGGTGCTATGATAAAAAGGAAATGAGGGGATCAAATTTATATCCATTAACTGGATTCACTGATAACACAACTAAGAGTGCGTAGAAACGTAGCACCAGGTGGGCTGTGAGCTCGTCTACGCACGTCTACGTACATGAAATGAAGCTACGAAAATAATCCGATATTCCTTTTAATCTTTTAAACTATTAGTATGCATGTGTGTATATATGGTATGTATGTATATGTATATATGATTGTGATTGTGTATATATGTATATACATACTTTTTTGTGTATGTATTCGCACCTTAATATAAATTTCATTGCACCTACCACTATTTACTCTGCACTACCGACTGGTAGAGAATGCCTTAGGCATTAAGTCCGCCAGTGTAAATTTTACATGAAGTGTAATAAATAAATAAATAAAATATTGATATTTTTTAAACGCTACAGGATTAAATTTTAATTGAGAAACAGAATCAGCGATGTTTAGGTGTGCCGGGCGGACATGTTAAGAAGTGATGTTTTAAACAAAAAGATTTTGTTGGTTTTTGCCGATTTCTGACTCTAGACATAATGAATATAATTTCTATTCAATAAATATTTTATGATTATTTTTTTCAAATCATTCTGATTCATATTAGAGATGAGTTAACTTTTTTATTCAGATAATAATAATAATTTAAGTAAAATTAATCCCACTATGTGGTGAAGCAATTTCGTTATTTGGGAAGCTCCGATCCGATGTACAAAACTGACAGACTAAACTGTTTATTTATAGCTTGTTTTTATTTTTATGCTAAACATCCTGGTCAGAGAGCTTGTTATGCAATCAATCACAAGTTCTGAACTTTTTTCGAAACAGATCGCTTTTAAAGTTTGTTTAGCGTTCAGAAAAAAAAAATCCGTTTTAAGATTTCGTTCCAAGATAAAAAGTAATCCCTTTTACAAAGTTTTTAAGAACTATCTGCACGCTCAGTGGGAAAAAAGGTTGAGCCTTAGTGCAATGATCTCTTCAAGTTTTAATCTGATTGTTATCGTGGATCTTCGCTGTGCTAACGGCTTTACTAAACCTTACTCTGTTAAGTACTTAAGTTGTTAAGTTTCTGTTAAGTTTACTGGTGGTAGGACTTCTTGTGAGTCCGCACGGGTAGGTACTACCACCCGGCCTTTTTCTGCCGTGAAGCAGTAATGCGTTTCGGTTTGAAGGGTGGGGCAGCAGTTGTAACTATAGTTGAGACCTTAGAACATATATCTCAAAGTGGGTGGCGCATTTACGTTGTAGATGTCTATGGGCTCCAGTAACCACTTAACAGCAGGTGGGATGTGAGCCCGTCCACCCATCTAAGAAAAAGAAAAAAACAAAAAAAAAAGTAAGTGTTGTAAATGCTTCTTCTTCTTCTTTCTTTCCTACTACCCTCTGCTGGGGTGTAAGGCTCAAATCAAATTCTTCCATTTTCATCGGTCTCGGGCTGTCTGTTCTAGCTCCTCCCACGTTATGCCCAAGACGCCCAGTTCCTGCTCTACTGAGTGACGACAAGTTGTTCTGGGACGGCTTCTCTTTCTTCATTTTATCAGACACTTCCCAAGTCAGTGCTCTCTTAGATAGGTGGGTATTGTTAAACACTAACTGACAAAATTTTTCGATACTTTTGGATTTGTACCCCAGCAGAGTTGCATCACTCGATGCGAGTACGTTTTACCTGTTAAACCATAGACGGGTCAGTTATCACACGTTATCTGACTCTTTTCTCAAGAAATCTAACGCAATCGATAAATACTTATTGAGTCTTATTTTAAAATCACTTTTGATAACTGCACAGAAAAACTCAAAAAAGGTCTCACTCAGATTGACTCTTAGAAAAACCTAAGGCGACAAAAATACTCTTACGTTTTTATCTTCTTATATGAATGTATAAAAGATATAGGCATAGTATTGGAAAGCCTTCGAAGCGGATTGATGTGTGATTGATTGCCCCTCCGGGGATCAGGACCTGACGATATCGCTGACTTGAAGGGGTCAAGAGATGTGATGGACCGTGGAGAATTCGTTTGTTCTAAGCCAATAATAATAATTGAGGTCTGATAAATAAAAAATTGTGATTTAATGGGAACACGTGACATTTTAAGTATCTGAACGTTTCGTTAATCCTGAACATTCTGATCGGCATAATTGGACTATCTTATCAAATTATTCTATTGTCGTCGGTCCTTGATGAGTGTGCGAAGTTTTAATTCGATTCGACACTTTAAATATGTGTGATGATCAAGTTAAAAAATCCTGTGCATATATACTCGTATGTAACCAAGCTAATAAAGTGTGCTAAAAATACGAAATGAATTAAAAAATAATAACAATAGCATTGTGTATATACAAATAATACAAATTTATAAAACGCATTTAAGATAAATTACGTCTGGTGGGGCAGATATCATTTTTATTAAAATAACCTTTTCATCATTTTTGACTCCGGTATGAGTTTAATACTAAGCGAAGTTTGATATTTATTTGCCGATTTTTGCTACAAACCTATCAAGATTTTCGTCCAAGCTCAAATCTAAACGAACCAAATAAAGAACAGGAATCGGTGAGACCAGCCGGTAATAAAGACCAACCTTTTGTTTCATGATCTGTAAACTTCGGCGTAAGGTACCATTGTAACCACTAAGCACATGTTTATAGAAAAAAGAGCAGGTAGCATTAGATACTTAGCGTCGTTTCAAGGATTACTTTTTCTATTCTCTAGAGAAAGATTTTTATCGTGTCCTTTCATTAGTGTAGATAAGCAGACTAGAAGTCCTACGTGAATTGGAACATTTACCAAATTCCCTACTTTGAAAACTTGCACAAATTTTTTTATAGCTTAGATGGATGGATGAGCTCACTGCTCACCTGGTGTTAAGTGGCAACCGGAGTCCATAGATATTTACAATGTAAATGCCGCCACCCACTTCGAGACATGATTTGTAAGGTCTCAGTTTCAACAACGGCTGCCACCCTTCAAACCAAAACGCATTACTGCTTCACGGCAGAAATAAGCAGGGCGGTGGTACCTACCCGTCCGGACTCATAAGACGTCTTACCACCAGTAAAATACCACCAAAGTACCAAAGTAAAGTAACCACATATCTAATATGTAAACTTTTGGGCCACAGACAGTTTTATATTCAACAAATTCTCGTAGTAGATTGCAAGTCGACAATGCATGGCAACGTCACGTTTGTGTCAACATCGAAAGCAAACGTCGGGATCTCCCGTCACGAGTGCTGAGCTCACTCAAGTGATGAATGGGTTCCGATCTGTTGTGATTCATTACGTCACATGATCTTGTACATTTAGCGGCAATCATACACTGAGCGAATATCGCGATTCTAAAGAAAAAAAACGCTTTTTTATAAAAGGAAAAGAATCGAATTAGTGCAAGATCTTATAATGCTTCTTGTTAAGTATTTAAACAAGTTAAATCATATCTAGTTTTTCA